GAAGATAAACTGCAACATGCACGTAGAACGTGGTAGCAGTTTTGTTAACTGCCCCTGGAAGGCTTGAATGATGCCCTATAAATAGAGCAAAGGAGGAAGGAACAAGGGGGGTGGAAATTGGCAGAGAACAGGATTAGTAGTGAAAAAGTCTACCGGAGAAACGACGAACACCATGAAGCTTCTGGCAATCTGGGTTTCCATGCTCACGGAGTACCTTTATCGCTTTCTTTATTTTCCTTGGTAATTTATTTTGATGCAATTTATATTCAGCAATTTTATGTTTCTGTATTTTCGATTCTTCGTCATTTCGATTTAATGCAAGTTAAGTTTCCGTATTTAAATCCCTTGGTCATTTTTGCAATTTTTGATTCCCAGTCATTTATCGCACCTTTGATTTACTGTCCTTTACATTTCCTGCAAATTCGATTTCTCGGTATTTACATTGTTGCTGTTTCGATTCCCTGTCTTTTACACTTAAAGCAAATTTAAGATTTTCGTAGTTTACGTTTCTTTGCAGTCTAAGTTTCAGCACTGTCTTTCGATTCCATATATTTCCTGTTTTCTTTACTTCGAGTATTCTTAATACAAAACACCAAAAATAGTATCTTTGAAATCGGATAAAATTCGATCCTCATACACATTTCGATTGAAAATTAATTTGCTAGCCTAAACAAAAAGAACTTACGTGATAGAATTTTGATTAGGATCAAAATATCTTAGAGTCGAAATTGATCGAAATTCCACCAGAAACAATATTATAATTTTCATTGAATAGTTTAATTGATAAGTATTTTATTTACATTATATTTGAAAAATGAGTTGTTTTACTGCACGAAGCAAACTCTCCTTTTAAATATCACTTTAATATATCAATTTAAACCGAAAATAATTAACTTTAAATAAAAATCGAGAGACAATCACAAACAAAAATATTGAAAAATAATAATAAGAGAATGTGAACAACTAAAATTAGCGTAAGTTTAAATCATATGAGAATAAAGAATTAAAAACAACATTAAATTCAAATTTGAAATTTAGTTTACTTGTTTACTTTATATATGAATTGAATCCAATATCTTCGAGAAAATTAATATTTAAAAACAGTTTACATAAATAGTTATTCATTTCTTATTTATTATACTATTACCTAAATAAAATTATTTAAGATTTTCCTTTACTTGGAAATTTTAATTATAATTTATGCATTGATATCTGAATGTAAATTTAAAAAAAATAAAAACTATATATAAAACACATGGAAGTGAATATTTTATTACGAAAATAAATAGTAAAATTTACATTTATTAACTCATGAGTTGTTTAACTTACTTAAAATCATATTAAATTTGTTAGGTGAAATTATGTATTATTTTCATTTTTATTGTTATAATAATTTTCATATACATATATTTTTCTGGATTTCTCTCTTTTGTTTTATTAATTTTATGTTTTATTTTATTTAATACATAACGATGAACACATATAGAACAAACAGGAAAAAATATTTCCTCTGAAATTATAAAGAGAAACATAAACTCATCCAAAACGAATAATTTATCACTAAACATGTTAATACTTGAATTAATGAAAAATATAAAATATACTTAATTTTTGAATGTGCAAAAAGGTGAGACTTATAATGATTGTGATATAAATAGAAAATAAAGTTTTAATAATAATTAAAAATAATAACTCGTGCAATGCAGGGTGTTAGAAAATGTAATAATAAAAGAGTCTTCCTCTAGAAAGTACTTATCATTCATTGACCTTCCAAAGATTACGCTGCATGTTGTCAAGTTATTTAAACCATAAACAATCCGCAAAATCATTCTTTTAATATTTTTACATCGTTGTATGCATCTACTACTCCACTACGTTTCCCGCGCAGATGCTCAACAAACTTCACTCACTCCCTACCCACTTTTCCTTACAAACTGCTACTTTTTGGTATTCATTGAATATATAATATTCCACCGTGGCCATGCATCAAGAACAAACTCTATCATAAAATATAACAACGTGCTGCTTTTAATATATGAGATGACTTATGAATTTCCTACGAATTTAAAATTAACCTCCTGCAACACCTACGTGATAGGAAAATGAATGAAAACTGTCTTCAATAAATTAAGATCGGTAAGGATGTGATTTTTATCGGACTTTTATGGATGTAGGTGGTTTCAATTTAGTTGACCTGTGACAGTTTTTTCTTCTTCTTTTTTTCAGTATCATTTCTCTATAATTCCCTCAATAATTGTTATAATAGATTTTGTGTTACATTATGACGGTAGATTAATAAGGATCGAACTCATTAGGACTAGATGGAGGATAAATTAACTCAATCAAAGGAACTCATTAGAATTAGATTTTTTAACATATTTTTATTTCATCGTAACTAACTAAAATTCTCATTATTTTTACTAGAATCATTTTTCATTTTTCATTTTAATGTAATAAAAGAAATATAGATAATTATTAATTTGTTGAATAATATAAAAGATATTTTTGGCTGAGAGAGTTGTAAAGAGAATTTATAACAACTATCAAACCAATAATTTGTTACGAAGACAATACTGAAAAGGTATTCATAAATAGTTATATAAAGTTGAATGAGAATATAATATATGTTTAATTTCAAAAACATTTTAAGTATTATATTTGTAAATATTTATAAATTATATTATTTAAATTTTTTTATTATGTCCGAAATTGAACTCTTATTCAAGTTGAAGGAATTGAATAATTTATATTAATGGTTTTTTCTTAACAAATTGTAAAATATAAATTTATTATATCATATTATTAATTAATAAATTATAAATAACTTATTTTCTTACTTACTTTTTCTCTTCAATTATTTTGTTTTTTTTATTTATTTAAATTGTTTGATGGAATATTATAAAAAGAATTTAAATAACTTATAATATGAAATACATTTCTTTTAATAGAAAGATGCATGAAATAATTAATATTTTACTTTAATATATCAGTTCATCTTTAATTTTATTGGATGCTTAAATAAAGTATTAATTATTTAAAAAATAATTTATTAAAAAATATTATATGATGTTATAACTATTTAATTTTTTTTAATCTCTTTGACAAATAAGTTAAAAAAATAAGAAAATAAAAGTTAATGAAAAAAAGTGAAATTTTTTTTTAAATTTATTAAAAAAAATAAAATTAATAATAAATTAATTAAAAATAATATGATATTATCAACCCTGTTATATATTTCTTTAATTAATAATAAGTTATGTGAACTTCCAAATACCCCTTTCAAAATCTCTAAACCCTTATTTGTTTTCAAGGACTGAAAAAAAAAAAAAATGGAAGGCACAGAAATAGGTGGATTTCATTTATTTTTAGGTTTAAAATTTTACAAATCGAAGCAAATATTCTTCCTCTATCTTGTGAAAAAAATATTTTTTCAAACATAATCACGCAAGTAAAGATTATATTTACTTCTATAATTAATTATAGATAACTTCATAGATAATTATGTTTGAATTTTTCTTTTTAATTTTTTTTATATTATTATAATAATAAATATTTTAAAAAATTATATTAAAATAATAAATAAATTTATTTTATTTTTCATTTTTTTCAAACCATTTTACTTTTTGTTGTCTTTCTATTTTTTAATTCTTTAAATTCGCTCTGAAATCCAATCAAATGATAAGACTCTGCAAAATTGGTTCGTATTCTTTGCCACGTTGGAATATCGTCACGGTCATTCATGTGAGGTCATTGGGACGAGTCCCAAACCACGATGACTACTACGTGTTTGTGGAAATGTTTTCCAATCATCAGTTACATAACTCGCATGTAATTTTTTTTTATATAAACAAATAAAATCAATTAAACTGACTATATCTAAAAATAAAGTAAAATATAAAATAAAAAAACATCATTAAAAAAATATAAAATATATAAAATATATAAAAATAAAAAATAAAAAAACATCATTAAAAAAATATGAAATACATTAAATAAAACATATTTAAAAAGTAATTCTAAAAATAAAGTAAAATACAAAATAGAAAAATATCATTAAAAAAATATAAAATATAAAATAAAAAGACATCATTAAAAAAATATGAAATACATTAAAAAAAACAAATTTAAAGATTATTATGCTAATCTACAAACCACTCTAACCAATCTACAACCTATCTAAAATAGTTCCATTCTACTCCTTTTTTTTTATTATAATCATAAAATTATTAATTAAAAAAAATCAATATTATATTATTTAAAGTCACAAAATTTAAAAAAACAGACACAAATTTTGCTTAAAACGCAACATAATCTTAGTAATATTTTTGCTAAAAATGCAACATTATATATATATATATATATATATATATATATATATATATATATTTTCCACTAAAGTTTGCATACTACGCATCTTTTTTTTTCATTTGGATAAAAATAATAATTTTCCTTCTGTATAGAAAAATATTTTATTAATAACATTAATAATGATATATTACACTAACAAATTAACATGAATTAATATATTTTTTTCTTATACAATCACACATCTAATAATCTATTCCATTTTAATATATTGACTCAGTTAAAAATATTGTCAACACGTTAGAGAACTTTCATGTTCATCTTCCATGTCCAAAAGTATTTATTTTCATATAACTTCTCGTTAACTTTCACAAAATGTGTCGATTACCGAGTTTAAACACAGTAAAAAAAATGAAAAATTTAAGAATAAAAATAAAACAATTTTATATTATTTACAAAAAGATAAAAAAATAATATATTTGACATATCAAACATTATATAGAATATTGCAAGACTATATATTTGCGTAATCTAAGAAAAAAATCAATTTAATTAAATAAAAGTAATCGGCGAATCAAAGGAGTGCTACAACCACGAAGCATAAAAGACAAAATCAATTTAACAGATCCCGGAAAACGTGATATCAATAAATAGTGTAGAAGCGAGATACCTTAAAGTCTTCTTCCATGTGACACATGGTTTGTACAAAGGAAATTATTTTTAGTGTTAGTTGGTTGGTATCAGTTTTGTTTATACAAATCAATATTTATTACAATCCATTTTTCAACAAACAATAAATGATAATTATTTACTTTTATTTTAATTATATCATTATTATTATATTAATATAATATAGTTGTGGGTTTTTTCTTTATAATTTTCTATTTTAAAATCCTCATAATCATTGATTAAATTCAGTAATTAATTGCTAATATTAGCATAAAGTGTAGACGAAAGTTTCCTAAATTTTTAAATGTGATTTTATAAAATTTAAATGTAACTTTATAAAACATTTTAAACTCGGAATCAATTTAAAAAAAATAGTACTAATTTTACTGTTTAAGTGACTAACTTAATTTGGTAATGCAAGAAATTAGCACTTGAAAATAAAATAAAAAGTTATAATGTATGAACAAAACTAACAAATAATTTAAGAGTGTAAACAAATTTTTACCCAACAAAATGTAATATTTAAAATAATTTGTAACACTCAACAAATTAAAAAAGAAATTGACGTTTTAAGAATGAAGATGGTAAATTATTTTCCTAAAAAAACATAAAAATCTGAATAAATAAATACATTTTTTATTTATATCTTTACAGGTTATTCACACAATAACTAGAATACTATATTTATATATATTCCAAAATTATATAAAAAACTGTTATAATATATATTGTTTTAAATCTCGTTGAATGTAAAAATTAAAAATCATCACAGGTCCTAAGCAATACAACAAATATTTTAGAGCAGGAGTTTAAAATTTATTATTTATTTTTTTAAATAATATAATGATTTAAAATAGCAATTTATATTAATTATCATAAAAATATAAATTTTAACTCTTTTATTTATATATATATATATATATATATATATACATATATATATATAGCAACATAAAAAAATAATATATTTTAAAAAATACTTCAATAAAATATACGTTAATTTATTTATTTAATTAAATATATTTATTATTTATACATAAAATTTGATAACGGAGTAATATTGTGTGGCATAATGTAATTATATTTTTTTTATCTCTCACTTCATTTTTTTTAATCTTTCTTCTTGTTCATTGTTTGATTGTTTTTTTCTTTCTTCTTACACCATCTTATTTTTTTAGTTAAAAATATTATATTAAAATTTGATAAAATAATATTGTTATTATTGTTAAAAAATAAAAATATTTAAATTATTGTTATATTATAATTATTATAAATTGTTTTTTTACAAATATTATTATATTATTATGAAAAAAAATCAATATTTATTCTAAAGTATTTATTTAATATATATTTTTCTAAAATTACTTAATATAACTAATGATGTAACTCAATCTAATTATAATTAAATTAATTTATTAAATTATTAAATAAAAATAAATAAATTCAACTCATAAATATTTAATATTTTTTAATTTTTAATATTGATTTTTTTAATTATTATAAAAAAAGAGAAAAATTACATATAAAAAACTATGTAATTTGATAAATAAATAAAAAAAATTATTTAAACATATTTTTTAATGTAATATTTATATTATTTATATATAAATATAATTAATAATGAGATGTTATGTCATTTATATATATATATATATATATATATATATATATTATTTTTATTGAATTTATGTAAAGGTTGTTGAATTTAAAACAGGATTAAAATAAAGACATAGTATACGTGGGAGATTTATATTGATTATGAATTATAATATATAAGAGTTTGATTTATATATGGGTTTCGTAAAATTAAATGAGATCTGAGTTTATTTTTATATATTTTTCGTTTTAATTAGTGAAATGTAAGTCGTTTAAAAGAAAAATAAAATTGATGATAACAAAAATAAAATTTGGAGATCAGAAACATGTGCTTGTTCTGTGGCTTGTCTTTATTTTGGTAAGGTTGTTGGAGACGTGCAATATAAAAGGCATGCACGGGATGCTTCTTTCCATCAAATCTACAACCCTCTCTTCTCACTATCACTGTCCCATCAATCACTGGTGTCTCAACCCATTCATTCTCTTTCATTTTTGTAAGGGCTTCTCAAAGGTAATTCTCATTCTCATTCTCATTCTCATTCTCCTTCACTTTCTATGATCCTTTTACATTCCATTTTTCTCTTCCTTTTGCAATTTTAGATGCTGTCAGATTCATTCAAACCTCCATGGAAACCTGAAATTTTGAAACTAACTAGAACAAAATAAAAAATTAATTCTAGAATTTTTATTTTTTTCTTATTTCACAAACACGTGGAGCACGCTTTTATTATTATTATTATTATTATTATTATTATTATTATTATTATTATTATTATTATTCAAGTGGAATAAACTATTGACCAAAGCGTCTCATCTAGTTAGCTACAACCCAATCACGTTCTTAATCAAATAAATATTCCCACAAATAAATCAAATTTGACCACCAAATGTAAGGAATCATATTGTTATTATTATAACTTTAGCTCTTTTATTTTCTGTGATTTAACTTTTATATTGAAAATATTTCATTTTGATTGGATCATTAATTTTATATATAATTTTGTAATAGTTTGGTTGATTAAATTATTTTTTATGATACTTTAAATAGATATATTAGGTTTTAAGTTTAATTAGTCGAAAATAAAAATTAATAAACATATATATAATTGGAGATTGGATTAAAATTACATATTTTCTAAACTATATAAATTAAAATTACTACAATTTAACCTAAAAAGAAAAAAAATGTTTGTGGGTTAGAATACAAAAAAATTAGGTAATTTTTAATTTTATTAATGTCATTATTTAAAAAGTATTTCTTAATCTTTTGAAAAAAAAATTGTTTAATATTCTTGAGTTTTAGAATTTATATAAATATTTTATATTTAGTTATAATGGAATATGTGAGTGTATATGTATAAAGCAAGTTTTATCATATATTACAATGATGGTTAATGTAGTACATTCTGACATAACTTGTGTTGTGTTTGTGTGGAGCTTGCTCCAACTGACCCTACTACTACTTTTGAATGCAGAAAATTCTTGATCAAAGCTATGTCCCCCACGTCTATTTTAGGAAACAACAACGACGGCTCTGAAAGGTATTGAACCATGATTAATTGCATAATTTTGAATGAATAAGATATATGAACTTGGTTTTATGATGTTCTTGTAATATAATGTTTCAATATTGGTGATTTTGAATATGAAGTTTGATCACCCTGTTTTGTTTTTCTTCAAATCAGTGCTGCTGAGTTTAATTGGGATGAGCTTGGATTTAGACTAATCCCCACAGATTATATGTATGTCATGAAATGTGCAAAAGAAGATAAGTTTTCACAAGGATCACTGCTTCCGTATGGTAACATTGAGATGAACCCTTCTGCTGGGATAATAAATTATGGACAGGTTCTTATGGACACACTTATCGATGATAAGTTTTTCTGCATAATGCAGTTCACACATTAAATTCTATGCAGCTAAAAATCTCACAAATATGTAAACTTTGTGAATCTTCAGGGTCTCTTTGAGGGACTAAAGGCACATAGAACTGAAGATGGACGTATACTTTTATTTCGACCTGATGAAAATGGCCAACGTATGAAGAGAGGAGCAGATAGAATGTGTATGCCATCCCCATCTGTTGACCAGTTTGTTAATGCTGTAAAACAAACAGTTCTTGCGAATAAACGATGGGTATTTATCAATTTCCTCATCATATTCTTCTCTATGATCTATGAAGAAGTTGAAAAACAAATTAAGCTTCAGATTTGAAAACAGGTGCCTCCTCCAGGAAAAGGGTCACTATATATTAGGCCCTTGCTCATGGGAACAGGGCCAGTGTTAGGATTGGGACCAGCACCAGAATATACATTGCTTATTTATTGTTCTCCTGTTAGCAGCTACTTCAGGGTATGTAACTTATAGATTTCAACTTGGTTCTAAGTTATGGCTAGGTAAATTTCATATTGCAGTCTAATTTTAGTTTTATGACAGACTCCACTAAACTTAAAAGTCGAAGATAAACTCTATCGTGCAATATCTGGCAGTGGTGGAACTGGTGGTATCAAAAGTGTCACCAATTATGCTCCTGTAAGAATATAATCTTACCAATATTATCACTAATGAAACAGTTTTATCTGGCTTGAATAATATCTAACTTTCATCATTTTGTAACCTTTTTTAATGGTTACTCTTTGGTCTAAGTTTATCCTTCTTTTGTTTCATATGTTATTCGTAATTATTTCTGGTATCATAGGTTTATACCGCAACTACTGATGCAAAAGCCAACGGCTTCTCCGACGTGTTGTTCTTGGATTCAGCAACTGGAAAATATATAGAGGAGGTCTCATCATGCAATGTATTTATTGTCAAGGTACACCAACAACTAACTTTAATTATGATTGCTAATTGAAATTTTAATTCAAGGAAATTGTATCATGTCAATGTGAACACAATTTGTGTAATTTTTATATAGGACAACATTATCTGCACTCCTCATATAGACGGAGCCATTTTGCCTGGAATCACACGAAAATCCATCATTGAGATTGCCATAGACTTGGGTTATGAGGTATTATTTTATTTTCCTTCGATTATTGGCAAGTAAATTTGGTTTTCCAAGTTAAGCATTGGTGTATACTATAGTTGCTAAGGAAACTGTTGCTTATTGAATTGTGTTGAGGTGATGGAACGTGCCGTATCAGTGGAGGAAATGCTAGGTGCTGATGAAATGTTCTGCACAGGAACTGCTATGATTGTCAACTCAGTTGGATCTGTAACTTACAAGGGAACAAGGTAAAATTAATGATTTTTTCTCAAATATTCCATGTCCCTTTTTATTCCAAGTTATTTATCTGGTGTCTCTAGAATATCTTCATCTAATGATACTGCTAAATTCAAATAAATTATTGGCTATGCAGAGTGGAATACAATACAGGACCAGAAACTTTGTGCGCAAAACTCCGCGCAACACTTGTTGGAATTCAGACAGGGTGTCTGGAGGACACAAAGTCATGGACTGTCAATGTTAAATGAAGACAATACTTAGTCAATAAGTTAGTATCTGAATGTCCTCTTTTATGCAACAAAACTGAAATTGGGTATTAAAGTTAAAATAATCCCTTTAATAGAATAACTAAATTTTTAGGATGATTATCACTTTCTGTTCACTTAATATTTGTTAATTTAATCATTTATTCAAACATTATATCTATTCTCCCAATTCAAATCTAATTATTATGTTTACCTTCATTGTTTTCTATTAAGAATTTATTTTTATATAAAACGGTCGTTTAACTCTTCGAGTAAATAAAATCAATAAAAAAGAATTTTAAGAAAATCTACAAAGAATAAAAAAATAAATCATTGACATGTTTTTGTGGAATATTTGTTTAGTCTTTGTAATAAACTGGTGATATTTAAAATAATATATAATTACCGCATATACATTTTGATGTTTTTTTCGTTAATTTATTACTTTACATATTATATAATATTAATATTGTATATAATTATTTCCAATTTGATCTTAAACAAATTAGACAAGAACATGAAAAAACAGAGTTATGTCAAGCTTATCGAAAAAAAAATATATAATATAAAAGGGTTTTAACCATTGATGTTAATATCAACAAATCTAACGGTAAAAAGAATTGAACTCTTCCATCATAGCCTCAATTTGAAAATACACTTATTCAAAAAAAAAAAAAAAGATGAGCACATTAAATTTCAAAGAGAAGGACTATTATAAGAACTATAATAATTTGTATTTAATACAGGAAGTACACGTGTATTTCTTTTTATATAATTAAAAATTATAATGAATATAAATATTAAATGAATAAGTCACATTACAATTAAAGAATGTAACAAAATATGTTTTTTTTTTTGTATTTGAATGAATAAATAATTAAAAAAATAAACCATGCATGTAATGCTAAAAGGATAGTAATTTGAAATTAAATTATGAAAGACATATATTTTTATTACTCCTGAGAATAGTGCTTGAAATATACCGAAACAAAAAAGTGTTAAGAATCTCTAATTAAGATAATCATATGCTTAGAGTTCTTAAGAATCTCTGATTAATCAGACACTTAGAGTTCCATTTTTTATGAAAAAATAAAATAAAATGTTAATAATTTGTATTTTTTTATCTTATATTTTTCCTCAAAATAAAAGATAGAAAAAATATAAAAAATATGAAAAGAGATTTGTTAGTAGAAAAAGAATAATAAGTTGAAAATGTACAAAACCTTGACAAAGAAAATGTTTTTCATTTGTATATTTTTTTCTTATATTTTTTCTTAAAATAAAAGATAGAAAAAAATATAAAAAGTATGAAAAGAGATTATGTTAGTAAGAAAAGAATAATAAGTTGAAAATGGACAAAAACATGAAAAAATCATAAAGAAAAAGTTGATCATTTGTATTTTTTTCTTATATTTTTCTTTAAAATAAGATATAAAAAATAAAAAAGTATGAAAAAAAATTATGTTAGTAACGAAAAAAAAAAAATCAAGTCGAAATGAACTATGTTAGTAAGGAAAAAAATTCAAGTTGAAAATGGACAAAAACTTAAAGTATAAAAAAAAATTATGTTAGTAACGAAAAAAAAATTTTAGTAACGAAAAAAAAAAATTCAAGTCGAAAAGAACTATGTTAATAAGAAAAACAAAAAGTCAAGTTGAAAATGGACAAACTTAAAAAAATAAAAATAAAAAAACGCCGACTGTGGGGATCGAACCCACGACCACGTGGTTAAAAGCCACGCGCTCTACCACTGAGCTAAGACGGCTACATGACAACAAATGATTATTTCAATATATAAACAAATAATAAAAATATAGAGTAACTTGAATAATTATGATGTCTTCGGTTTTGGTTAAACTAATTGAGTACTAAAATTTCCATATGATAATGAGGTCCATTTGCCAATGTGTTTATTTATTTTAATAAATTCTAGTGATGTCACTTATAAAAAAAATTATGTGACACTATGTCCAAGGCAAAATAACTAATATAGTTAATTAATTATAAAGGATAATATTTGTGAGAAATATGAAGTTGCAATTAAGAAGAAAAATTAAAAGGTTTGATATCTTTTTTATTGTTGTATGGATTTTGAAATGAAGAAGATCTCCAAGCTAATTTAATTAAAGAGGCTTGTGGAAGTGCTAAGAAGACCAAAAAAGTTAAATTGTAGTCTCTTAAAAAATAATGAGTTGTTGTTCATACTTGATTAAGAGTCCATTGAAAATTACCTTAATATGATTCAATTATTAGTGAATTCAGTGTGAATTTATGGAAAATCAATTATAAATCAAAATTTAGTAGAGAAAATTTGGAGAATTCTTTCTTCTAAATTTGATTATACTATGGTTGTAACCGAGGAGTCTAAAGGCACAGGAAAGGTGAACATTGAGGAGCTGTAAGGTTCTTTAGAGTCTCATGAGCTAAAATTACTATTATAAGTGTTAGAAAATTGTTGAAGAACAAAATTGTTGAATAACAAGTACTCCAATCTTAAGTTTTAAAGAAGTTTAGTACAATTATTGAAAAGTGGAGAAAATGTAAGAATAATAGTAGATTCAATAAGGAGTGGTGGTCTTCAAATCAAGACTATTATAATGATAATAATAAGCTAGAGTCCTCTAATAGATGTGGTAAAGGAGGATATATTAGAGGTAGAGGTGAAAAGAAATATTAAGATAAGATAAAGATTTTATACCATAATTGTGAGATATGGAGACATTACGCAACTTATATTGGTCTGACAAAGAAATACGAAAAACAATAGTGAGAATGTAACTCATATGACTTAAGTTGAACTTGATAATGAACTTGTATTATTAATGGTCACAATTCATGATGAAAAACCTTGTTAAGAGAATTGGTTTCTCAATTCATGATGTAAAACCTTGACTAGACAGAAGAATTGACTCTCTAATCTTAATACTAGTAGACAAAGCAACATGTGATTTGTTGATAATACAACTATAGGAGTTGAAGGTGTTGGTAATATTGTGATCAAAAGAAAGGGAAATAAGGTAGTAATAATTGAGAAGTGTTATATGTTCTTGGTATGAAATGGAATCTACTAAGTGTGGACTGTTAAGTGGTAAAAAGTTGATATAATTATGCCTTGAATTGTTATAAAACCACTTAACTTATGTTAATTCTAATATATTTTTCTCCCAATATAGGATGAATTTGAGAATACCTTGATACAAGAGTAAGGAGCATAATTGTCAGCATAATTGGAGTAAAATTGAAAGAAAGAAGAGCGCTTAAGCGAATGAATGATGCAAGGCCCGACCCAAATTCTCTTATAAAAAGATAAGTTATGTTTTGAGAAAATGAAGCAGTCTTGGAGGAGAGGAGACACGACTACTGTTAGGGTTTTGTCTAATCTTCATCAATTTTTCACTTCTTCATCAATTGGAGCATTGTAATGGCCAACATGAGTGACTAACTTCATTCTCTTAGGATTCAGTGCACTTCCTTTGAACTCTTTTGTATCATGGTGATATTTTGAGATATTAATCTATGCTTTGATGTTGTTATTCTTATCCTCTATGCTTTTGAATGATTTATTCTTGATTGTTTGAGGTATGATTGGAAAATATATCTTGAACCCTAGATCACTGTCGCCGCCTCCCCGAAAGAGGGGGCGCGGTCGGAGCGACGCGATGGTTTTTCGACTCTTCTTTGATTTTCGCGTTTTTTATTGGTGGTTACAACGTCTTCAGGTTGTCCGATAACCGGGCTAGCCTGGAGACGAGGTTTTCAAAAAGTGTCCTTGAGTTGTCCGACAACCGGGCTAACCCAAGGACTTTATTTATTTTGGGTTCTATGGAGTCGCCACCGATATTTTTACCATAAACATCGGAAAAGGGGTTTTAAAAGGCGTTGGTTTTCGAAAACCAACTTTGGTCATTAGAACCAGAGTTGGGTAAGGGAGTTAGTTACGTGTAAAGGAAGTATTAGTTCCTTTACGACGCCCCTTTCGGGTTCCCTATGATAGGCCGACTTTATTTGTGAATAATTAAACTTGAAAAATTGCGCTTTTACCCTTTTTTATTATGCGGAATTTAAATATGTGACTACATTGCCCTGGTTTCTATTGCATAAATTAAATAGCAGTAATTTAAAAAAGAGAATGAGGATATGCACCTCCAAAGCAAGCTTTTATATTCAAAAAGAGAGTGCGTTTTGGCAACCCTTCACTCTACACTCTCAGAAACTCCGGAAATGCCTCAGAGGGATTCTTAAGAAGATTTAGAACGCTCAGTCTATGCCTAAAGACGCTCAGAAACTCCGGAAATGTCTCAGAGGGATTCTTAAGAAGATTTAGAACGCTCAGTCTATGCCTAAAGACGCTCAGAAACTCCGGAAATGCCTCGGAGGGATTCTTAGAGAGAGAAAATCTAGAGAGAAGGGAGAGCTCTTGCTGCTTGGTCTCCAAATGAGGGGGAGAGAGCCCCTATTTATAGTTTTTCGCGCCTGACAGGTCGAGACCGTCGTTTCCTCTGATAGGGGTCGAGACCGCCGTCTGGAAAGTCCAGACCGCCGTCTCGTTCGAGTCAGAGGGTCGAGACCGCCGTCTGGGTGAACGAGACCGCCGTCTCGTCCTTCGCTCGCTCAAGCGAGTATACCGGTCGCTTGAGCGAGATGGAACCCGAGAGTCCCCTTTTGTTTGAAGGCTTCGTCGCTCAAGCGAGTACATCGATCGCTTGAGCGAGGCGTGACCCGAGAGTCCCCTTTGTTTGAAACTTTCTTCGCTCAAGCGAGTACAACGGTCGCTTGAGCGAGGCATGACCCAAGAGTCCCCTTTGTTTGAAGCTTTAGTCGCTCAAGCGAGTACACCAGTCGCTTGAGCGAGGCATGACCCTTAGTCCCCTTCTACGCGAGGCGAGACGGCGGTCTGGGTCGTCCAGAAGGAGTTCTCGTCCCTTCGAGGCGAGAAAACTTATTTTCGGGCCAAAAAAACCTTCCTATCTTGGTACGGGAGCCTAATAGTCTCTCTTAGTGGC